TAATTTGAATATACTTAGAAAAGAAGAGTTTATATAATATTAAATTATGTAAATATTTTCATTAGGATCTTCTATTGTTTCAAAGATATTTGTATCTAATAATTAAGTTTATGCCTACGCTAACGATTGTAATTTTTCTTTTAATTAAAGTTTATAAATTTAATTTTTTATGTATATATTTCTTGAGATTAATTAATGAAATATCTAGATTCTTTTTCAGTAGTTCCATATTCTTTATAGAACATCTGGGAATGAAAATAGAATTATTTTCAAATTGGCTTTCAGAATACTTAAATACTTTATAGAAATTCTGTATTCGAATGTAATAAATCTATAACTCTTGGAATCCTATTTTATTTTCGAGAACCTGGAATGATTATAGAATTTCAATATTGGCTATCTAAATAATTTATAAAAATTAAGGGGTTGTTTATTGGTCAAAAATTATTTTAGGATTTATATTTTTTTCTTAGAACCTTAAATTTTGTAATTAAAATTGTTCAAATTTCCCAAAGTCTCAAATGTGTAGAGTAGATTCTGTCTCTTTATATAGTATTTCAAATACTATCCTACTACTTCTGTTATTTTTATACGGCATACTTCATTGTAATTTATTCATGATAACAATGAAATGTTTCTATCATTTTGGGAGGAATGTGATGAGAACAGTACTTCAACTTCCTGCACAACTTTTTTTTATTTTAAATAGCCAATTTTCAATTAATGTAGAAGTTTGTAAGTTTTTTGATAACAAACCTAAGATTGTTAATCAACCCTGTAATTCTTCCCAAAATTTTTTACTATTTTTAAGTTAAATTATCTATGCCGAAAATTCTTTAGAATTCAATAATTTTACTGATAAAATAATAACCATCCTCTTCCTTCAATTTTTTTCATTAATTACCATTTTATCGCCATTGTTAGTCTTCATCTTATATCAGATTTAAATTATTCATTATAATTTAACTTAACAATGAAAAATATAGAGCGATTTTAGATTTTAACAAAATACAGTGAACAATTATTATTATTTTTATAAATAAATATTTGCTAACAATCAAATTTATCTTCAATTTCAATTTTCTTTAGAAAAATATTTGGAAAAGCCTCCAAATCAGGCTACTCTCGCTTTTTTCGGGACTTGACTTCGCACTAAGTGCTCGTCAGTATACAGATATTTCCTTGCTAAATTATATTGGCAATGATATACTCTCCGTATCACTTTCAAATATTTTGTTGAAGTAACAAAAGAAAAAAGTTTCAGGGTTTAATAAGAATAAATCAAAACGATGTATAAATTAAAAAAAGTTCTGGTTATATATTTATTCTTTGATATGTATCAAAATCTAATTGGATGTAATCCATTCCACTGTTACATGAATAAATTATTAGGGGGGAATCACTAGGTTTGCATCTCCATACTAAATTGGTTCATTAGATAACTTATAAATTAAAATCACGCAAAGCAATACTTTTTCAGTTTGTTATCTTGGTTATATGAATAATAAAAACAAAATGATGAAGTAATATTAGATTAGTTGATCATTTTAACGTAAATTAATTAGAAATATCTTGTTTGACTAATAAATATATTAATTGCTAATTATTTATATTATTAACAAAATGAAATTCTGACATATTTTCCATATATTTTTTCAACAGAACAGTTGGAAGTTGAATGAAGAATTCAATTTGACTAATTTTCATTTTAAATTGACTTTATAAAATCCCACTTTTATTCAATAAATATATTAATTATGATTCCAAAATTTTTACAAGGGAATCATAACAAAACCTAAACTCTTTTATTCACTCAGTCTTATCAAGCATAACAAAGACACACTTATAATCATCAACCCTAAACTTTAATAATTAATGCAAAAACCAGTCTCTACATAAAAAATACAAGAAATAAAATCAGTATTTTTTTTTAAATTATGTTTTATTTTTATTTAAATAAGAATGGCTGCACTTGTATGATCAATGATATAAAAAATAATTATCTAAAATGTTACATCTAGGATATGATCATATTTTAATGCAAAGATTAATTGCTACATGTTGTTTGAATAATTCAATCACAAATCATTAAAATAAGTTTTTTCATAAAATACTGTGTTTTTTTCTTTGATTTTCATCAGCAGTGAAACACATCTTTTAAGTTTAATCCATAATCTAACAATCTATTAGATGAAAAAATTGTAAAAGATTGTTTATCAAATTAATTATTTTTCCAATTCTCATATCGAAAAATTACTAAAAAAGTCATAGGTTTAGTGATTTTTTTTAATTTTTTAGTAAATTTATTTAAATAAGTTAAGAAATAATTAGAATTAAAAAACGTACGATATTAATTAATTAAATTAATTTTAATATAATTTCCATAAATATTTACAAAAAAAACCACAAAATTTCTTGACTTCACCTCACAATCTTGAATTTGAGCTAATATTCTTCTATTATCAATTTTTCAATATATTTAATAGATAAAAATTGCCTCCTAAATCTAAATTTATCAAAAATCCTTCTAAGATTAAAAGAAACTTTTATTGATCTACTCTTTCTCAAATTATTCATTTTTATGTATCCAAAGAAATTTTGAGCTAATGACAAAAAAAATTCATCTTTTATTTATAAGAACTAAGAGTTTAATTTGGTTTATTAATGCTAGAAGTGATGATAAACATTATTTTATAATCATTCTCAAACTTTTCTTGTTTTCAAATTATTGTATTATAATGTTAAGTATCTTTTCATAATAAGAGTATTTCGAAGCCAGCAAAATAAGTTTCAAATAAAATATAGCATAACAGGATATTTTTGCAATAGATTCTTTTATATAATAGAAATGCTTTATAAGTATTTTAAGAAGTTTGGAAAATTCAGTGAAATGCAAGAATTTTTTTCTTGTGAAATATATTATGTATAAGTTACTTATTTTATTAATTAGGTAAATTATAAATCTTTTTTTCAATAAATGTATATGATATAGACTTTGAATTCAAATCTGAAAATTGGCTGAAAGGTGATAGTTTCTAGTTTTTGTTCTGTTTCTCCAAACTATTCATATTTAGTATAACCAAATGCTTGAATTACTTCAAGTTTTATTAAATTTTTGAATAAAGTTAAAAAAATTTAATAAAATAATTATCTAAAGAATCAGATTCTTATTCCTCATAAGAATAGAATAAACTGAAAAGCAAAGAAGTTAAAGAAATAATAAAAACTAAAAATTATTTTGAGAATGGGATCAAAAAGAGAAGATTTTTGAATAATTAGAACAATAACAACAGGAATAGTACCAGTGCAAAAGACAGGTTTATTATGTTGTTAATAACGAGAAAATAAAATAGATCCATAATCATGTCTAGTTATATTGTGGTAACATTAATATTTATCATGAGATTTTCGTTAACAAATTAACTAAGAAATATATATTACTATTATTTCAATTATAATCTGATTATATTAAATTGACTCAAAATGAACCAAGAAAATTTACTTTGCTTCTATATTTTTTTTGACAGTTTTTTGTCTTTCAGATTGGTTAATCAATTCCAGTGTCATCTAGAGAGATACTGCTAATCATATCCTTGCTTTTTGCACACTGGCCCAATAAACAAGACAGAATTAAAAAAAATTTGCCTTAATATATTTTTCCATTTAATGAGAGTTATTTTTAGAGGGATGATGTAGCCCTTAGGGTGATTAAACCAATGAAGACAATATTTGATGTAACGAGAATTCGATGACAAATTTAAAAGTAATCAAGAGGGTATTTAAAAGAGGATTTAGTTATTTGTAATAAATTTGATTCCTGAAAAATTAACTTCTTGAAATAATTGTTTTGCTTCTCTGATAAACAGCTTTTAATTTTAATAAAAGCAAGATGATTAACTTAATATTGATATGAATATTAATTAGTAATCTAAAGTTCTTGGAATTCTCTAATAGATCTATGCTAGGTAAAACTATGTATGATAAATAATGAGTGTTATTTTTGGTTGTATAATTTAAAAAAAACTTTTGAAAACTTTATCTCATCATTAAAACAATATTTAAAGGGGTTCAAATTTTTATGATAAGACTTATGGTAGACGAGAAGTTGAATTTACAAATGCATACCATAAATCAAAAAGAACTTTTAATTACATCTATCGATCATTCAAATAGGGTCAATCAAATTTGCATATTACTTGTTTTTTAATTTATCTGATCCTAGATATTAGATATGTATTCATAATAAAAAATATTTTCACAAAGATTAAATTATAACTGAAATTGAATGGAGTTTAATTTAACGGTAAATTTACATTATTTTATACACATAAATAAACAAATGGAAGAATATTTGAATAAATAAATATTTTTA